ATTACTTAACATTAACTAAATTTAAAATTTGCATTAAACTTATGAAAATTATCATAAAGTTCTTTCCAAAATCCTGTTTTTTTATAATTTTTGTATAAACCTCCTCCTCTAAATTTTGAATTTCATCATTTTTACATTTCTTGAAAATCACAAATTTCAGTCATTTTGTACTATGTTTTCCATAAACCAACTTTTATATCATTTTCATATTCTCCTATCTAAATTACCTAACATTAACTACTTCCAATAATTATCATATAATTCTATCCATTTCCCAATCTTTTAACCTTTTTGATTGTAATTTCCTCCTCCTCTTGAATTCAATAATATTAATACATTAAAATTTAATATTTATCTAAAATATTCCATCTACCGAATTTCTTATCATCTTTTTATTCACCTACATTAAAAATTTAACTAAAACTAAAATAATAAATCAATTTAAATACTCCCAAAACTTATCTGATATATCATATGATTTTCCTTATTAGAATCCATTTCTATCGTAGTTATGCAAGCCACTTTAAATTGATTATTTTTATTAGCATGATTTACATAATTTAATATTATTCTCTAGATTAATATCTATATAATGTTTCCCAAAGTCCATATTTCTTTCCATTATAATATTCACCTATAAATATAACTTAACAACGACTTTTTAGATATAATTAAAAAGAAACTTACTCCCAATATTTATTAAAAAATTCAGCCCATTTTCCTTTTTTTAAATTATTTTAATCATAATATCCTCCAATAATGGTCCTTTTTCCTTTCCAGAAAGCATTCCATCTTCCAAATTTATGATTTTAGTTATTCATCTATCCATTCCAAAAAGCATATTTGATCATTTCTATGTTATTATTAACTTCTTCAGAATAATCTGTTAGAAGTTCTCTTAAATTTTTTAATTGTTTAATACTTCTTAAGAATTTCACCATCCTACAAATAAATCAATTCATTCATTTTGTTATGCTAAACAATAATGTCAATCTTTCTTAATTGCCAAATACCACTTTATGATTAATATCCTTATGTCAATTGTATAATTTAAGATCTCTATAACGATTGATCCATTTAAAGATTATAGAAATTAAAAGTATTGAATTTAATTTAATGAGAACTAATAAAGTAATAGTAGAATTTATTAATTTTTATAAGCATTTTTTAGTGCAAAAATAAATAACTTCACAATTAAATTTGCTTTATAAGCATTTCAGGAATAAGTAAATAAAGTTTATTAAAAAAATTGTTAAATAAACAAAAATATTTATCGATAAAATCTGTAAAAATATATAAAAATACTTTATTTATTAATTAGCAATAAATTATTATAAAACAATTCTAAAAAGAATTATAAAATCTTTCCTTTCTTTAACTCGATGAATTTAAATGGAAAGATTGACAAAAAATAAGAGTTCTAATTATTAGCATACAAAAATTAGGTATAAGCATACAAGAAAACACCAGTTGATTTTTAGATGATTTAATATTTCCAAAATTTTATTCATAAATACAATTGAAAAAAAAATTAGGGTATGATATTAATAACGAAAAGGTTATAGTAAATTCTTCACTTCCATAAAATACTAAAAAAAAAAACTAATTCTTTACTTTTAGATAATAATCCTTATATAATTTAATGAAAAGTTTTCTTCCAAACTTCTTATAAATTTTAACTAAATTTGAAATAATTAAGTAATTTAATTTTTAAAAACATTTCATAGTGAAAAATAACATTCTTGTCGAATAAATAAACAAACAAGTATTTTATTTTCTAGGATTTAGGATTTCTTCACCATTATAAAAACATCAAGATGAAATCAAAAAATATCTGAGTTGTATAAATATATAAAATTATTTAAATTAGCCTTTTTAATTAAATTATTATTTATTTAATTAGGCTTACAATTAGCCTAATGAAAGATTAAAATTGAAAATTTTAATGTTCAAAAATCTATTTAGAAATAATTTTAATTTTCTTAGATCCTTTTGTCAACATTAATTAAGTTAGAAAAGGAAAGAAAATCGAATTAAAGCAATATAAATTATCGAAATCATATTGCTTATTCAAGTGATTTTTAGTAGAATTAGATTATTATAAAAATGAAATAACAATATATTTTTTAAAAAACGGTAAATTTGGTTTGAAGAAATTTCCATTAACAAGAAAATATAAACAAAACTTTTAATTTCACATATGCTCGATAAAACTTATTATCACTATATGAAATTCAAAATTTTCTAAAATTTAATAGAAGTATAAAAATAATGGATTTAATGATCTCATTATATAAATAAATTTATAACTGAAATACAAATAAATTTTGGATTGAAGTTAAATTTTTAGTTTAATTTCAAAAACACTTTAATTATCAAAGAATTGTATATGTATTTGTAGATGTTCATTTAGCTAATGGATTATAAATTTCTTATTCAATTTCTGCATATAAATTCTTCATTTTTCTCAATCTTTATTTTACTAAGAATAAATAAAATTAAAAAAACAATAATAAGCAATAATAATGTTATCGCCCAATTCTATTTTTGATATTATAAACTGGTTTGGCTAAGAATAGATATACATCAATATTCAAGTGGTTTTTGGAAATAGTTAAAGATAACCTTAAATGGAACATTGCGATTAGTTTATTGACTGTAAATTGTTGAATAAAATATTATACTCATGTAATTAGTAATGCAATAAACAAGACTTTATAGTAAGAATTATTGTATACATGGGTAAAGTTGAATTAAATTTATTTTAAATAAATATGCCTGCCTAATTTCAACTCCATTTAGAAATTTATCTCCAAATATTTCAGAATAATTTATTATCAGAATCATATAATTTATAGTTGCAGTAGGAATATTTTAGGTAATTAAGATAATAGCTATTTTACTTAATAAGTATTTACTAAAAATAATGTGTCATAAATTTAATGGAATTTATAACTATTTACTTGTGTAATTTATTTAATTAATGCATAAAGATTGATTCAATAATATATTACTGATAATTTAAATATATGTAAAGTACGCATATTAGAATTTAATGTTTCATAATCATTGAACCTTATTTATTCTTTAAACAATCTCATTTAATTCAAATTGACATTAAATTTAAATCTTCAGATTAATAAGTAGATAATTTTTGACCCTTTAAAAGATTCAATTTTTTTGAATTAAATTCAATCAAAACAAAACATCTATTAACAATCTCAAGAAACTTAATTTATTTTTGAAAACTAGTTGTATTTCTTAATTTATGAATCAAGTAAACATAATAATTATCCCTACCCTAATAATATAATAACTTTTAGTAACCATTTATAAAATATTTAAAGCAAGTTTATGATCAATTAACTAATTAGTTTCTATATTGAGAGATTACCATTTTTTAGTTCATTGAAAACTAAGAATACCTTATATATATATGAATCATTTAATTAATCCAGCTATTTTCTAAATTTTCTATCAATTAGTTTCAATAAGATTTAAGATCGATTAGAGTTGTTTGAAATATTTTAAATTTAAAAGAAAGTATATATACTCTTTCATGAAATAGTCACTTTTTAA